AGCCCTCTCGAAACCCCCCCCCCTAGGCAAAGGGGCCCAAGTCCGAACACCGGTGGACTTCTGACGACATCTGCAATATCTGAGGCCCCCGATCCAAAATCTAAATAACCCCAACTGGACCTTCCAAGGCAACGGCACCATCAAGGGCATCACCCAACACTTGGACTACATCCAGGGCATGGGTGCTTCGGACTTGGTAGGAGTGCTTAGGGGTTATGGGGTTTCGGGTTGGGGTCTACCGAACAGCACCCTTAAGTGCACCCTTAAGAGGCACGTAGGGCTTGGCGCTCTGAAGGGTGAATGGTGCAGCCGGTCAGGTCTGATGTCCGGATATACTCAAAACATCTCAAAACATTCTAAGACCTTATAAGCCTCAACACTAAACCTTCGATTTTGGAAGTTCAGGGTTGAAGCGCCACTGAACCCCAACCCCCAAACCGAAGCAGCAACTGGTTCAAACACCTCTGAACTACCCTGTAGAACCTCATGCACAGGGTGCGGAAAAGGAGGCCTGGTGTGTGGCTTTGCAGCATTCCCCGAGCATGACTCCAACCTGAAGGCCTTGCACAGAAGGTACCAAGCCGGGGCGAGTGCGTGACACGTGTATCGATGCAGGCCACGCAGCGGCTCGAACCCTGAACATCCGCCCCACCGCAGCCCCTTCTGAGCATCGCAGCCATGTCCGAGGCCGAGGCAGTGATCCGCAATCAGTCCGGCTATATCAACCACACGGCCAAGAAGGATTACGGGCCCTTGGAGTTTACTGGGAGGATTGCTGGAGGCCTGAGGCTGGACTTGCGTAGGCGGCTGCCGCTTTACGCGAGCGACTGGACGGATGCGTTCAAGCCGGAGAACTTCCAAAAATCGTTGTCGTCCATTCTCTACCTCTTCATCGCAGCTTTGGCGCCCGCCATCACCTTCGGAAGCCGCTTCTTGGACGGCACCAATGGCCAGTTCGGAGTGCTGGAGATGATTATGTCGACAGCCGTCTCTGGCGTGATCTTCTCCACCTTCGCAGGGCAGCCCTTGTCCATCCTCGGAGCGACCGGTCCTTTCCTGGCTTACACCCTCGTGGTGTATGACATGGCTGTGGGTGCCGATGTGGAGTTCATGCCCTTCTACTTCTGGGTTTGCATGTGGTGTTCGCTTTTCACCATTTTGGTCGCGGTCTTCGACCTTTGTGCTCTCATGAAGCATGTGACCATGTTCTCGGAAGACATCTTCGCGGGCCTTATTTCTTTGATCTTTATCATCGACGGAGTTAGGCCCGGCAGCAAATTTTATAAGTGTAGACGGCCTAATTGAAACATTGTGGCGTGCCCAATCAACCCTTGACCATTCCGGGGCGCAGGCCCATAATCGAGAACTTCTCGGAGAACAAGATGAGCCTGACCAGTGCCATGTTCGAGGCCCTGCTCTTAGGGTGTGCACGTTTCCGGGTCCCCGACTGTGGCATCTTTTAAGATTTGCCAAGTTTGTTGAAATGTGTCGAGGCCCTGCTCTTCATGTACACTTTTGGTTTGGCGACCTACCTCTCCCACTTCCGCCGCACGCCTTGGCTGCTCCGGCCCATCCGCAACCTCATGGCCAACTTCGCAGTGACCATCTCCCTGGTCACGGCCTCGGCCCTGGCAGCGATCTACTCCAGTGACACGAACCTGAGGATGCTGAGCGTCGACGCGGACTTCTCCCCGAACCTCGTCTTGTCGGATGGCAGCAAGCGGCCCTGGGTCGTTAATCCGATGGGCATCGAGCGCGACTTCCCGGCCTGGGCCATTGCTTACGCGATACTTCCAGCAACTTAGACCCAGAGTAGAGTAGGCCTTCATTCTTCTTTACGGTTAGGTTCCCTTGTAGGCCTATTATACGCCCTTTTTAAACCAAGAAGGGCACCCTTTTAATTCCTAGATTGCTCTTGTGTCTAGGCAATTGGTTTCGCCGTGCTGGGTTACCTGGACCAGAACCTCACGTCTGTGATCGTGAACAGGCCTTCCAACAACCTGCAGAAGGGGCCAGGCTATCATCTGGATCTGTTTTTTGGCAAGCTCTTGCAAGAATCATGTTAAATTTGTAGCAGGTTCCCGTTATATGGGTCAGAGAGAATACTTTTTACAAGGCAAAGAACAGTTGTTTAAGGTTTGTCAGGGGAGCTTTGACGCTGCCGGTCTGCGCCGTATTGGGCCTGCCTCTGTCGGTGGCCTCGACAGTGCCCAGCATCACGCACGTGATCTCGCTGACCACTTATGAGGTGAAGCAGCTGCCGGAGGGCGAGCGCAAGGTGCCGAGCAAGGTCGTGGAGCAACGCGCGACGAATTTTCTGATTCACGTGCTTATTGGCTGTGCGCTCTTCCTGGCGCCGGCGCTGAAATTCCTGCCGCGGGCCGTGCTGCAGGGTGTGTTCTTCTACATGGGCATCGCAAGCTTGACCGGCAACAACCTTTTCGATCGCCTCTTCCTGTGGCTGATCTGGGACCCGGCAAAGTACCCACAGTACCACTACATCCAGAAGCTGCCCATCCGCCGCGTGCACCTCTACACCCTGGTGCAGGCAGGTGGGCTTTGGAAGATTGATTGGGGTTGCAACTACTGTAGCGAACGTCCACAGCCTACAGCCTATAGGGGCCTAGTCAGGGCCTAGTTGCTAGAAAGCTGGCCCAGTCTAATCCCTTCCCACTTTTACTAAACGCCCCCCCCCCCCCCCCCCCAATTATAAGAACACTTTCCAGAAAATCCTGCCGAAACCGACCCCGCCTTTTAAACGCTGTTCCGGCTTAGGGGGGGGTTTAGGGGCTCCCAAAACCCGCAAGCCAACCAACATCCTGAAGCTCCCTTCCCTCCCTTCCCAGCCTAGACCCTAAACCCTCTGGACCCCAAACGTGACATTTGGACAAAAACCTCCCCCTAACAATAAAAGCACATTTCAGTTTCCTTTTGGGGGGGGGGAGCCGTTTAATATTAGGGGAAGGGATTAAGGGTGATGTCCGAGCTTGTGTTCAATTGTGCGCATCTCTCTCCCTCTGTCTCTCCCTCCCTCCCTCCCTGTCTGTCTGTCTGCCGCTGCGTTGCGAGGTGCTTAGTCCTGTTTCACTTTCCTGTTCTCTGTATGCATGCTACCGGTAGTAGCGAGCACTTGCGACTTGGCCGGCGCCAACTTAATGAGCACGAGCTACGCGGCGGCATCAGCTTAAGAGGCTTAAGATTGGCGCGGAGGTGATCCGCCCCTGGCTTGGCCCTCTGGGCGAAGGGATGATGAAGAAATCTTGATATGGGCTTGCCATGTTAGGAAATTTGTCCTGCAACAAAGGTAATCAATTACGATGCTTGATGGTTTCTGCTGAAATCGCACTTAGGGTCCTTTTTGGGCTTCCGGCCGTCCGTGTTGCACGTGCAACCGGGCTCGAAGAAAGCTGCAAATACTGCATTGCTTTGTCTAATTTGCACGGGGCTTCTTCTCCCCTCCTCCCGTTCGGTTTTCACTGTCTGCTCTGACTCCGCTCAAGGAGTGATCTATCTTCTATCTAGATGCATGCTCGCAGCGAGCGCTTGCTGCGGCATTGGCGGTGTCAACTTAGTGAGCACATGCCCACGCGGCGGGCATCAGCCTAAAGTTGTTCTTCTTGCCAGGTGGTCTGCCTCGGCATCTTGTACGGTCTCAAAGCCATCAAGGAGACTTCCGTTGTCTTCCCTTTCTTCATGGCTTCCCTGGCCATCATCCGGAAGGCAGGGGACAAGAATCGGCAAGATCTTGGCGCAAGGGTCCGCTTTTCCTCAAGATATAAAGACCCGCTCAGCTAAGCCCCCCCAGCTTTGCATGCCATCTGCAGGCCATGCGCTTCCTCTTCACGCAGGAGGAACTGGAGCTGCTGGACAGCCTCCCAGCTGAGGAGGAGGACGGCAAGGCGCTGCGGGGGCTCTCTTTCCTAGATGTTTGCAAACAGCTGCCCCGCAGCACGGCCACCTGCTTTCGGGATTTTCCATGCACCAAAACTGCCAAAGCTGCCAATGCGGATAGGGATCGTCTGAAGACAGTCTCTATAAGTGTCTGCAAGAAGTGGACCCTGCCAGGGGCTGAGTCCGGAGCAGCCGGACTTGGTCAACCTCGAGAAGTCCAAGGCCAGGGCTTAGGAGTTCGGGTTGCTCAGCTCGTTGCTGGTTTCAGGGCTTCGTCTATGGATGTTTGTTCTTCGCAAGCTGGAGATATCTGGAGATGGTGGCAAAGCTTTAGTCAAGGGTGCGGGTGGGATGCCGCTAGTGTCTAAGGGCTTCGACGTTCAAGGGATTTCAAGGGCGTCTCTGCCATGTTACCACGTTGCAACATGTCAGGGTTTCTGAGTGTTCAGGAATTCTTGTTTGGCGGTTGTGTCAGGAGAACGATGAGGGAGAGCCCGCGAAGGCCACTGTGGGGGTCTGAGCTGCATGTTCTTCCTTCCTCGGATGGAACCGTTTAGGGCCTTCGACAATACGGAATTCGTTGAGTTTTGGCTGATTTTGGCTCCTTGGAGCTGGTTGGCGTGGCCCTTGCTGCGGCAATGGGTTCGTGCCTGACAAACCCTTACATCCAAGCAGCTGGCCGGAGCGCTGGCGCAGACACTGCCCCGGCTGGTCCTGGCGCTTGGATATCGCAGTGCCCATGCCAGGGCACAGCGGCGCCGGGAACAGAAAGTTCTTTCAGCTTTCGGAGGCCGTCGCCCCAGGCGAACATCTCCAAATCTACCCTGTACAGCCCCCGGCGCCAAACTCGCTACCCCTCATGCACACGGTGCAGAAAAGGAGGCCTGGTGCGTGGCTTTGCAGCATTCCCCGAGCATGACTCTAACCTGAAGGCCTTGCACAGAAGGTACCATGAATGCAAGACACCTTTTCGGGTACACTGAGCATCGAGGTCTGTAGTACACGTTTTTTTTTGTCCGCGAACTGACCGCTTTTAATCTGCGAGACCCCCTCTTCTCCCTAAACAGCGAGTCCGAGGCTTCGAAGGCATCTGGATAACGCCGGCAGTGATGCAGCTCCTAAACCGCGTTTTTGGCAAACGACCTTAAGCTAATTTAATTTGGTTGCACATGATGGCCCTAAACCCTAAAGTTTCCATCCGGGCTTTATGAATCGATGAGGTTCTACGGCCCCGACCCCGATGGCCAGAGTGGCTTCGGCAACTACGGCTACTGGGCAAAGGACCAACACCCGCAAGCCCCGGCCATAGAAACCGGTTCTAAACTCCATAAAACAGGAATTGGTGCCTTGCCCTTATTCCATTGTGGTACACGGTTTTTTTTCTCTCCGTTTTAGGGAAGCAAAAAACACAGCACTCTTTCTTTCGATTCTTAGGTCACTCCAGGACCTAGTCATTGCAGAACCAACCCACGGCGTCATCGCCAGGACATTTACAAGATCGACCCGAACTTCGGGACGGAGCAGGAGTTCAATAGTTGAATATTCACCCTGAACCCTGGTCTTCCGAGACCATTCCCAGAATGTGAATGTCATCAGCCGACTTTTTGTTCGTGGCAGGCTTTTCAAGTTTCATTCAGCCCTAAGTGCCCTGAATCCTGAATAAGCCTGTATGCAAGCATGCGGACAGAACTGCGAGATAGAAAGCGATGTTTGTTCGTGGATGGTTCCGTACGTAAGTTTCAGCGAGTGTCTCGCCACGGAAGATGCACATTGCCACATATGGGGAGCTCCAAATTATGATCCCGTTTGGTGCCATCGAATTCTGGACCGTGCTGTAGCTGCGGTTTTCGATCCATCCCGATGAGAATGTTGTGAGATTATATGCATTTTCCCGACTAGGTTCGGGATTCCTTCGTTATTCGACGCTATGTTTGGCTCTTCTTGTGATCCGTGTTCTGGTCGGGGCCATTCAATTTGTTAAGGGCTGTTCAGACCCGTCGAGGAGCCTCATGCCCAAAACACAGCTTCATGTGGAAGGCTCAGGACTATTGGCGAAAGACGCTTCAGCGCTCTGCCGGAATCGTGCAAGATCGGGGCTGTATAGCTTCAGGTGGTAGGACCCTACACCCTCTAGGCCCTTAGCCTTAGCCCGAACCCTGGGTTTCACCCACATGATAACTAGGTAGGCCTTTTGACTATTATGCTTTCCCTTGTTGGGCTAGGATCCTCTTTAGGAACACTCGTCAGATGGTTTCAAGGGCCAACCCGGAATCAAGAAGCCTTTCCGAAGCCCTCGAAGGAGCTGAAGGCCTTGTCTGATGAGCTCCACCGCCGGGACATGGCCACAAAGCGGTTGATTTGGCACCGATTTTTTGCTGAGGATTCAGGGCTCAGGGCTCATTTCTAGGGCTCTTGAGGCTCAGGGGGCTGAGGGGTTTCTGGTGTTTTTTGTTGCTTCAGGGCCAGTGTTGAGGCTTTAACATGGGTTTAGGGTTTAGGGGGGTGTAGGCCTTCTTGAAAGGTCTTCGTCTACGACATCGTCCTGAATCATGTCGGTCCTGCAACCTGGCTCTTGAGGGTTTAAGGCATGGGGTTGGGAGTTCAGTAGGCTACGTAGGACGGTTCATTAAAGAATCCTATTCAGTAAATGGCACAGCACCCTTCATGTATTCTCAAGGTGCCAGGCAGCCTAGTATTGGGACTGAAGACGAGAGCGTGGAACGCTTGTCGGGGTTGCATGAAGAAAAAGGTACGTGGGGCTTCCGAATCTTGAGTTTGAGGCTTTTGCCCTACACACTCAACCAGAAGCCATAAATCCAAAAGATTGTAGCCTAAAACCTGTAGAGTTCAGGGTCTACAAAACATTGCCAGGAAGGGGATCAGGCTCAGAGTTTTGCGTGGGGTTCAGGATGCTAGGCTCTACAGCGTTTAGGCCCAATTCGACAGACTCTGCCAGGAGCTGCCAAAGAAGCCTAGGGCTCTAGGCTCTGAGTTTCATACTGTAAGGTTTCGTGATAAACCCTAATTACCAAAGCCTATAGGCCTCTGAAGCCTGAACCCCGTACCGAAATCTCCAAACCCTAGGCAGGAGATTTGCTCGTAAAGACTGGGTAGACGAAGTCCCAGCACAGCTCCCAGGGCAAATGGTGAAACTTGGGGGGGGGATCGCTGCTGCTTGTGGTTGAGGGTCCATGGGGTTATTTTGAGTTGTCTAGGCAACCAAAACCCCTAAGGAATCCTACCTTACTTGAGACTCAAAACGGCAGCTCGCTTTTGGTTGTATTATGGTGTTCTGTTAGGGAATGGAAGACGAACTGCAACAGGAACCACACCTTCAGTTAAAACGCAAAAAAAACAAGCGACAGTCCAAATTGTTGGCGCTTTTCGGGCTCTCGAAGCCGTAAGGAATACTTTCATTTCTCAACGCTCAACCTTCCATCGATCTTAACCCCTGTAATGAGCCCTATGAGCCCTACAGCCCAGGTACACAATGAGAAGACGCTAGCAACGTTCCATCCCTTCGACAAGCCCGAGTACATCAATCAGCTGGGCCGTGGAAACCTGACCTTCAACCAGTACGCCCAGGGCAAAGCCTTCGGTGGGGAGAGTTTCTGGCCGCCAGCGCAGGACGCCCCGAGTTTTTGCTGGGCTTCGTGAGGGGGCGGCGGGCGGGGGGGGGGAGGGGAGGGTTGGTTTGATGTGCTACAGTGGAAAGAGTTGTTGTTAAGGGAGGTCTGGCAGAGTTCAACAACCAAACAAACCGAATCCCTAAACCCAACTTCCATCTCTTAGGGGTTGAGGTTTAGGGTTTCGGGCCCTGTAGTTCTGGGGTTACAATCTGCTAGTTTTGTTTCGGGCTACGTATCCTCGATGGAAAGCCCCAAAGACCCCAAATCCCTTTGCACGACCCTAAATGGGAACGACGAAAGAGCCCGATTGAAACCCCAAGCGCCAACGAGAACCACAACCGCGACAACACCAATCGTACTTTATCTAGGACCCAGACTAGGCCCTTATTCCTGTTTGGAGGGTTCCCTTATACGCCCCTTCAAAGCAAAACGGGCACCCGCTTTATTCCTACCTTACTCTGGGGTCTAGTTATAGTATAATTAGGAAGTCAAGACCCTTCAATTTGTAAATTCCGACCAGGCCATGGGTCCAGGCGCCATGTGTGCCAAAAGGTTCGCCGATTGCAGCAACTACTGGCCGCCTGCCTGCGCTTTTTTCGTGTTTGTGCGTGAGTTTATAGGGCCTGGGGTTTACCGTTTGGCGCCAGGGATTGTAGGGTTTTCAGATGTTAGTAGGGTTTGCAACTTGTGGGGGCTCTATAGGTCGAACGGTTGCGCCATCGTAGGAATACGATTTGGGGTATAGGGGTAACTGGGCTCCGACGTGCATCACTCTGCCTTCTGCCCGAGCGCACTCGGAAGCCAAAACCCTTAAACCCAATCTTGGGTGTCCACGGGTCTTGGTATGCACCCCCCCCCCCCCCACCCCCATGGTATCCCCACCCATGCCTCACTAAGCCCTCAAGCCCTACACCATCAGCCCTTAAATTAAACTCCTGAACCTGAATTCTATAAACAAACCCTTTGAAGGCCTAGAACTCTAAAATCTAAAACATGACCCAGAGATCCTTTTGACCCCTCAAGCCCTAACCCCAGACTCCACCGCCACACAACAGGCGGCGGCGGGAAGGGGGAGGGAATAGCATGGGCCCAAAAAAAAACCTGCGTACATAGAACCGTACGCCCTGAACTCTGAACCCAAACCATGCATCTCCAGACCGCCAAAACTTTAAACCGAGAGCTCTCAACCCTAGGCCCGAGAGAGACAAAATCCAACACCCTAAGGCCCCCTAAAGCCCTGCACCCCTAATCTATGCCTAAATGCCTAAACCTTGTGCCGCTAAACCACTAAAAACTCTCAAACCCTAACCCTTGAACCCACCACCCTGAACCAAATCTCCAACTCAGGTGCCCCGTGCAAATGCCTGGATTCGGGATGCCCTGCCGCTGGGCGTCAGCTCAGTGCGAAGGGGTGTTATAGGTGAGGTTCATAGTCTTTTTAAAAATTTTAGTGGATCAATGTAGGGGTTTATAGGGTATTCTTAGGGGTTTGTAGGAGTTCAAGGGTTTTCTTACTAGTTCTTTAATTTACCATCTACGGGTTTCGGTTCAGGATTTAGCTGGCTTTGGGAGTTGCATTTGTTTCTTTCCACGAGGCCCAGTGGAGGAGAAGCTGCTGAAGAGACGCCCTGGACCTGCGCCCCTCGGGTGCTGAGAGAGTGAGGGCTTAGATTTGCCGGCTGGAGCTTAATGTTTGAGGCTTGAAGTGAAGCTCTTCTCTTTCTTTTGTTGTTCTTTCTGGCGGGGCAGCGGTGTCGTTACTGAGGGTTGAGGGCTTCATGGCCTTTTGGATTGCAAGAGGTGCCAGGTCCCATTTTGGAGCAACAATCACCCTATCCCCCCAGCCCCAGAAGCCCTTGACATGAGGAGCAGCGAGTAAGTCTTTAAGACTTGGGCTCCAGAAGAATCCAGGCACTGGGCCCAATAGGGACCAATCAGCAACTACTTTGGGACCCGGGTATTGCTTGTGGCACTTGGACCTTTTTGGGCTCAGGGGACAGGGCTTATAGGGTTTCGAGTTTAGGGCTTCCAGGGCTGATGCAGCTTTTTGAAGCTCCGGGTCGAGGAGCCTTCCCTTCTGCAACGTGGGCGACATGGTCTGCGAGGGCTACGACGAGCCGACGACCGTCGTAGGACGGGACTCTGCCCCCCCCCCCCCACAGCTCACACCACCCAGAGCCCAAAGCCTTTCTTTGACATCACCCCAAACCCCAAAGCCCCGGACATTCAGTTTCCCAAGAGCTCTGAAATGCGAAAAGGTCGAAGGCTTTAGAGCTAAGTACAGGCACACGGGGTTTGCCACGATCAGAAAGAAGTCATGGGACGTATGAGCTCCTGCATTGGTGTTCGAATGCTAAGCCCAGCCCTGAACCGTAAGCCCTACTCTGTGTAGGGCTCAGCCCTTGAAGCTCCACCGCATCATGCGCAGGATGGTTCTACGACCTCGGTGATCCTTGGCGGCCTCAACCCTGCATGGTCTATGGTTTGGGCTGAAAGGGTTTCGGGTTTAGAGCTTGGGGGATTCATGCTTAGCGATGAGTATTTCTTGAATGGTGGGACCCTATACGAGCAGCCTCAGGATCTCAACCAGTCACATCCTTTCGTGCGCTCCGAGCTCCTCAAGTGGGGAAAGTGCCCTGGAGGGCAATAGGGTTTGGGGTTCTCCCCTTTTGGGGGGTTGGAGGGGAGATTTTTGGAGGTTTGGAGTTTGGGGGTTTTGGGATTTGCTGGTTGAGGGTCTGGGGTTTGCTGCTCTTCGGGTTTTGGCCTTAGGTGTTGGAGGTTGGTGTTACTGTTAAGGGCCGGGGCGGTTGCCCTCCTAAACCCAAAACTGTAAACCTCAACCCGTAGCCCTTCAACCCTAACCCAAAGCCCGAAAAGGATCCGAGGCTGAGCGGTGTTGATTTCGCGGACTCTTTGGAAGCAGAAACCCAGTAGCCCCCCCCCCCGATCCCCGCACCCCAAACTGGGTTTTGGAGTACTATACGTTAATACTTTTTTTCGTTCTGGGTTCCGATCATAGCAGCGTATACCGAAAGTTCTATACTTTTTTCCAGGGTCTATTCCAAAATACTTGTAGGGCAAAGTAACTTGCGGGAACTATGTAGGTCGGAGACGGGCTTCAAGTTCAGAAACCCTGGAGCCTGATGTATGCAAGCGCCGGTGGTAGCTCAGACTCGTTGACTCTGATCCAGACTACCAAGGTACATGAAGAACAAGTACCACATCGACGCTTGATATTAGCAAAGACAGGTTCAGGGTTTTAGGGTTTAGGGTTTAGAGTTTAGGGTTTAGGGTTTGGGGTTTAAGGTCGGGCATGGCATTTAAACGGCCGTTCGCTTCACACACTCCAGACATCATCTCGCCTTCAAAATACCTCCTGGTCGCTGAGCGCCCCTGAAAGGCAAGCTTGGGGTTCCCCATCTTCTGGTCATTATGAAAGAGAAGCCTTGGAGGGTCAGTGTGTATCTAGGGTATACAATAAGGTATACGACTATACGACAGCATCAGAGCCCATTCGAAGCCCGTACTTTACATCCCAGACACCACCCTAAGCCCTGAATCCACAACCCTGACAATTCTAAACCCTCAGCCCCTAAATTTTAAGTAGGGCTGAAGGGTTTAGGAGTACTTCCCCCCCCCCCCCCCCCCCAGCCTAAGATTCCGTCCCTGGCTTACTCGGCTGCCACCCAAACTTCCCTCACCATTCAGCCTGACTTCCAGGAGGCCCAAAGACCATACTAGTTTAGGGTTTAGAGGTTTCGGGTTTAGGGTTTAGGGTTTAGGGGCAAGATTTGTATGTTTGTTTGTTGGGCCCATGGATCAGCCCTAAAGCGCAAGCTCTCCAAACTCTGAACAACAGCCCCGGGCCCAGGATGGTTTCCGACTGGATACGGCCCCCTACGTGCCCAAGGATTTTCTGAGTGAGCTCCCCTGGTTGACAAATGGCTTGGGTTCAAGGCTTAGGGTTTTGGGTCGCGTTCCTTGCCCTTAAGGCCCCACCCTCCTGCTCCCTAAACTCAGCACCCCGCAGAAAACCCTAAAACTCTAAACCCGCTGTGAAAACTGAGGTCTGGTGGGATGGGAAGGGCTTGGGGCTTGTAAGGTCTATAGGGCTTATACAGCTTAATTTATGAACGCCCCAAAACACTTCTAAGCTCATCGACAAGATGGTATTGTAGTAAGGGACGCTTCAGGGGATCCCACCAGGGCTAGTAGGGAGGCTCCCGCTATATTAGCTGGAGGTACATGATTTGAAAACCCAATGTTGTCGTGCTAACAGCCCCACCTGGAGCTTGTATACAACTACCTATACGACTACTTGTACTTCGGGAGGGGGGGGGCTTCCCTTTAAAGCCCTCAGTCCTTGTCCAACACCCTAAATCCTAGACTCTAAGACCATCCTTGGCTAAACCCTGGATCCTTCAAGCTAAGCCCTCAAACCCTCAAACCCCCACTACACCCCACACCCCAAATCCTAAGCCCATTGGCAGAAACAGGGCTCCTGATCCCCTCCAAAAGAACTTATAAAAAGCCTTGGGGCTCGGCTGCGCCCTAAGCCCCTTTTCATGTCTCGAAGGGTCGGTGTCCACATTGGGCCCCTAAGGTTGTACTGTACCCTTAAGGCTCGGAGGACCATGCAGAGACCCCAAGCCCTTCGAGGGGAGTATGTGGGCCGCCAGTAGTAAGATACCAGGAACCTTTAGAGCGGTGCAACCTCAGAGGGGTATGCGAGTTTGGATCCCTGGATCATGGTGCTGGGGGGTTTGGGGGTGTAGGGTTTAGGTGTCGGTGGCTTAGGCGGTTTAGGTGGGGTTTAGTAAGGTTGGGGTGGGAATGGAACTGAACCTCTTTCACCTTCGACGACAGAATTCAACCTAGCAACCCTAGACCGTTTAGGGTTTCAAGACTTGGCCAAGGTTCCAGGCAACCGTGGGGATTCCCATCCTGGGAGAGGCGCTTCTGGGATTGGGCCGTTCGGGGGGTTTTAAAGAAAACAACAAAAACAAAACACTACATCCCTCAGCGCTTCATATGCCAAAATCCGCCGACCAAAGCCCCTAAACCTCGGAATCCCTAAACCCTGAACCCTGTAAGTTGCGTCCAATTACTCCCAATACTGTTCAGAGGGGGTTTTGGCATTGAGGGTTGAGATCTGATAGGGCCCTCGAGAGCAGAAACGTTAGATCCTGAAGGTCACGGCCACCAACTGGACTTTTTTCAAGTCCTACGCCCCTGGCGAAGCTGCAGAGGAGGGGCCTGTCTTGAATCTGGGCATATTCTGGCGGGACGAGCGCTTCTTCCTTCTCATTCTAGAGCCCCTAAACCCCTGACCCCTTGCACTGGCGGCTTTGCGAAGGAGGAGCCCAAGGTCAGTCTAAACCCCCATACCCCCTACAACCATTTACAGCCCCCCTAAAACCCCTAAACCCCCAAAAAAAATTCCCTAAAACCCCCCCTACCCCCCCTGACCCCCTCCAAAGCACCCAGAACACCCCGAAGTGCTCAACCAGGAAGGGCCTCCTGAACTTTTACCTGCAAAACATGGCGACCCCCGGGTTCTGTGCCTCGGCGCTTTGAGGACTTTGAGTTACATGAGTTGGTGGTCTCTTTAAGTAAGATTTCTGTTCTATAGGGCATATATTCGGGTCCTTATCAGGGTATCTAGGGGCTGTCAAGGTCTAAGGGAAACAGTTAAAGAGGCCACCGGCCTTTGTAAGATTTGAGGGTTGTGAATCAGGGGCCGTAGCCTTCTACTGTAGAATTCTACATCTCTATATACTACTCTCTAGATGCTATATTGTTTTACAGTACTCTAGAATACTCTTTGATGCTGATGCTTGTAGAATACTATGTGATACTATTGAATACTACACTGCGTCATAGTGCGCTTACTCCTTTGAGGCGGCAAGCCCTTCTGGCCCGGCGCCGACCTCAACTTGCTGAAGCTGGGTGAGGCCATGCGGACGCAGTTTGAGGACCCTGGAAGGGTGGGGGTTTAGGGCTTAGGGTTTAGGATTCAGGGTTTAGGGTTTTAGGGCTAAGGTGTTGCAACTTGGGGTTTAGGAGTGTTTGGGGATTTTGGGGGTTTAGGGTTTGTGGACTACGCAGGGTATTGAGGGCTTTGGGTTTGCTTATCGTTCGGCGCAAGTCCAAGTATGAATAGCTTGGGGACGCAGGTGAGCCTGGGACAAAACTAGTTTCCCATCTTGTCTTCATGTTCGGCGCCCAAAAACTACTGTCAGGCTCCTGCTAGTCTGTATTTGTAAGGTGCTAACCATCGAAAATCGATAGGGGCCCACCAAGCATGTTGCGCAAGGTTCAATCAACACACGGTTTTGTCAGCCGCTCAAAAGTGATGTCCTGACTAGCAGGGCTCCGGCGCGTGAGCCCAGCATCTGACCTTTCAATCGCCAAAGGCCTAAAGCCTAAATCAGACCAGTGTTTAGCTTCAGCCTTAAACAGCAGGTCGGGAGGTCATGCTCAGAACGGCCTTCCCAGGCCCCAAACTCCGCATGCTTGCAACCTCAGGGTCTTGCTGCAGGAGAATCCGGGAGCCTTGAATGACCTGAACTTGCTGGGGAACTTCGTCGACAACCACGACATGCAGCGTCTTGCTCTGTACTGCGGTGGTGACATGGCGAGGATGAGAAACGCCATCACGTGGACAATGATGACACAAGGGATTCCCATCATCTTCTACGGGACGGAACACTTCTTCAACCTCACCCATCCACCCATGTGGAATGCCGGCTTCTCCACCAGCACAGCTGGCTACGCTCTTCTCCAGAGCCTGAACAATGTGCGCAAGGCCCTGAAGCTTCACACCGCCAACATGAAGCTTAGCTCTCTGGTTGGCTTCGTTTCTGACTCCTATGCGCTGTAAACCTGAACCGACAGCCCTCAAGCCTTGAAGCCTGACCCCTATAACCCTACAGCCTCCAAGACACTCCAGTTTCGGGTCCATCGAACAGAGGTCCCCCGCGTAAAGACGGCTGAGCCGCCTGCCTCGGTGGCAGGCTGCACCCCTTCAAGTCCTTATTAAAGGGGGCTTCGGGTGGCTCGTGGTGCATCGGGGCAGGAGGAGGGGAGGAGGGGAGGGACGTTAGGGAGCCCCCCTGGACCCCAAGAAGCCCTTCGAGGAAGGTGGAGGCGGTTGAGGCCCACCAGCTGGTCATCAGCCGCCACTCAGACAGGCAGGCCTTCATCTTCCTGAACAACTATGAGGACAGGGTAGGATGTAGGGTTTTCAGTTAAGGCTGATGCTGGTCCTGGGCGTGGGGCATTTCAGGTGCGGACTTCGGGGCATTCTTGTTTTTTTTTTTTGGTCGTTGGGGGGGGGGGGGGGGCTACACTGTTGCTTTGGAGGGCTTGTGTAGCAGGGAGGGGCACGGCGTCAGATTTCAGAACGTGCCTGGAACAAAGCTAGGGAATCTGATAGGGAGCACGGGCTGATCACCCTTGTGTACCTGCCAGTGATATGATATGCAATATCAGGAACGTTCCCTTGTACATTGCTGCCGTGCTGCGGTTGTTTAACGGCTCTTTAATACTTGAATCATCACGGCAGTGATGTCTTTGTCCCGTTGGCATATGTGCATTTGTTCAAGCTGATGTCTGCGTGTGTCTGTGTGTGTGGTCTGTCTGTTTGCGTGTGTCTGTGCCTGTCTGTCTCTGCGTCCGTCTGTCTCTGTGTCTGTCTGTCTGTCTGTCTCTGTGTATCTGTGCATCTGTCTGTCTGTCTGTCTGTCTGTCTGTCTGTCTGTCTGTCTGTCTGTCTGTCTGTCTGTCTGTCTGTCTGTCTGTGTTTGTGTGTGTGTGTGTGTTTGTGTCTATGTGTGTGTGTGTGTGCGTTTTTGGGCATTTATCTTTATGTTTTTTTTTTGGGGGGAAGGGCGGGGTATGAGCCCGGTGATTGCAGCCAGGGCTGGCAGCGGTGCTTTTCCTTTGGGTTCGGGGCTTCTCCGGTTTTAATGGACTTCGGATTCAGGACTGTTATGCTGTAACCCCATGGACCTCCTTAACCCTAAACCAAAACCTTCAAAATATGGGGTTTTCGAAAGTAAGGGACCCCTAATATAGTCCCCCAAATTAAAGGGTTCCCCTATATGAGAATAAGGACCCCAATAAGGTACCCCTAATTTCGGAAACCCGCATATGGGTTACCCCTTTGCTTCCTGGGTTGTGTGGAAGCTGTAGGACAGGAATGCAAAGATCGGGCACCCAATCATTGAAAGGCCGTTTCGAGGATGAGGTTTGTGGGTCTTCCGTAGGGCAAGGAAGTTCTTCTTCTTCTTCTTCGTAATATTCTTCTTCTTCTTCTCATTCCGGTTCCGCACGGAAGTTCAGGTTGCAGGGCTTAAGTTTGGGGTTTGAGGCTTCAGGGTTCTACGCGATTCGGTACCTACACTCCCACAACCCCATAAGCCTATACCCTAACCCCGGTAAAGCCCGAGATGTTTGACCAGGAACATCATGGCCCGGTGGAGTATGAGGCGCGTTGGGGTCGGGATTTTCCCCCTTCTTGTAATACATCTTGCGGGTTCTATTATGGAGCTTAAGTTAAGCTGCTAGTGAATTCGTGGCACAGGGTTTTAGCGTTGGAAATTACGGTATTTTGAATATACGTACATCCCAACAACCCTAAAGCCTAAACGATGATACAGGTATGAACCCCATGCGGTTGGAAGCCAGGAATGATGAAGCCAAGCTTTGGGTTTACAGTCTTTATGTAAAGGTCTCCGGAAAGTGTCTCGAGTTTGAACTTACAAGTGGAAGACTTGAGGTTTAAGACGTCAGGTTTGGGGCGGTTTGTGGTTGACGTTTTTGTTGGCTCCAGGTGTTTTTTTGCAGATTCTCCTGAAACTTGTGGGCGCAGGGACCCTAAACCCTAATTTGGAACAACCCCCAAGTTCATGCCAGGTGGGTGAAATTCTCCCCGAGACCCCCGAGGGCTGGGTCTGGGCTGATGCCTTTCACGGCTACTCGGTTCCGGACATCTCGGACGGCGCCTGGACAACCTTTAGTAGGATTTTAGGGCTGCAAATAGGGGTCTTGGGGTCTTGAGTGCTGCGTGAGGCTGTTGGAGCAGGGTCGTCAACAGGTGCGCATGAAGTGGGTTTAGGGAGTAGACATGTCATACAACGCAGGAGCATCCATGATGCCAGCGTGCACAGGTTCTTTCTTACACACACTGACGTGTTCGCGTTGCCTTGGTTTTGAAAGCGAGTCGAAGACCTTTAGGTCGTTGCCAAGATGTGGACATCTCAGGCCGTTCTGAAAAGATCCGCCCTAACCCCCGCCCCGAGAACCGAAAACCATGAGCCTACCCGCTATACTTCCAAAACCTGCACAGCCTGAACCACCCCAGCTACCAGCACATCCCAAAATTACCTATTTAGGGCTTTGATTCCCCCTTTTTGCTTGTCAAGGCATCCTACATGCCTCCACCGATCCGCTCGTGCTGACACTTGTGCAGCGCATGTCTTTGGAGCAGCTCCAGGCAGTCAGAGGGTTTAGGGGGTAGGGCCAGTTTAAGGTGCAGTAGTTTAGGGTTTATAGCGTGCAGCGAGCAACCGCAGGCCAACCGCGATCCGGTCCTGGTGTCGATGCTTTGATCCATCGACGGCACAAGGCGCCTGAACCCTCAACCGCTCGAACCCTCAGACCCTTAAGCCCACACAACCCAAACCCCAAAGCCTTTAAACCTTTAGAAATAAAAATGCCCTAAATCCTTCAACCCCCACGCCTTAGAACTTGCGCCTGCAGCCCGTGCAGCAAATTCAAGCCCGAAAAATCCGATTGCACCACCACCACCACTGCCACCACCACCACCACCACCACCAGCACCACCACCGCCACCACCAGCACCACCACCGCCGCCGCCGCCACCACCACCGCCACCACCACCACCACCACCACCACCACCACCACCACCACCACCCAGAAAGAAACCTTTGTTTTTATATCGTCGCAGTACGAACAGGACATTACTTGAAAATCACAGAGACATTCTTACAGAATTCACAAAGCCGCACATTTAAACCCAGCAGCCCTGCCGCTGACCGTGTACTTGTGCTGTTGTTTTTGGGTTTGATTCCTGCATAAACCTTACTAAGCCCCTGCTTAACCCCCAAAGCCCTCAATCCCTAAATACCCAACTCCCTCAACCCGAAACCACAAATCCCCCTAAACGTTTCATGAATCCCTTGAATCCCTAATCTCCTGAACCCTCACTCGAAGAGGCCTTGCCTGGCATTGCCTGGCCGTCCAGCTTGTTCTGACGCAAACGACCCAAGGGGCTCAAAGCCCTGTGGGGTCTTCAGGGTTGTTTAGTGTGTTGGGGGGTTTGGGTCTTGGTGCGCAAGTGTGCTTTGAGAGTCTTAAACGGGCTTTGCGAGTTTTGGGGCTTTACTTTTCTTTTGGTTCTCCGGGATTTAGTTGTCTTTTGGTTGTTGTGTGTCGCTGTTTTTTCTTGTTGGCCTGCAGGGTTTCGTATTTAGTGTCTTGGGGGTTGGTCTTTTCTTGTTTCCAGAGCTGTTCGGGCTTTAGGGTTTCCAGGGCTTCTCATGAATCAATTATTTCCCGGACCTTAGGAATTTGGAGGTTGCGGATTTGGAGCTCGCAGATTCATAGCTTCATCTTAGGGTCTTGGCCTAAGGGTTTAAGGTTTAGGGTGAGGGCTTAGGGCTCCCCAAGGGCCATGCCCGAAACCCCAAGCTCTTTTACTTTTGGCCTTGAGGGGCGCATCTGGTCTGCGGCAGAGCAGTCCCTCAAACCCCTCTTACTAGGACAGAGTAGGCCCTTACTCCCCTTTTTCTTTTGGGCTGTGTGTCCTCTACTGGCACAGTTAGCGAAAAGGGCATCCTCGTTATTCCTAAGTTACTCTAGGCACTAGGACCTCGTCATGTAGGGCTTATGTTCGACCGAGAACCAAATCCTACAAATTGAGCAGTATAGGGTTTAGGGTTGTGGAAGCCTTAAGTCAAAGTGCTTCGTCAACCCTACACAACTTCTGTACATTCTAGGCATGAACTGCTTAAGGACCAGTATACCTCCCTCAAAGCATGCCAGAGCCTTCGGGGCATACCGGTACAGAATTTGGTGAGAAACAAATTCTCCATTGAAGGTTTGGGGCTTAGGGCTTACATGGATGAAGGTCAACACCATGTTCAGTAATTTAGGGTTCCAAGTTCAGGGTTCTTTTGCGTAGCCCGAAGCCCCTCACCAGGAGTTTGTCTCATCAGCGCGAGCATGCTGCTTCCAAAAGGGAAGAAAATCAGCACATGGAAGGAAACGTTGGTTTGCGGCTGAGGGGTTAACTGCAACACCTGCAACCCTGAAGCCCACAATACCCGACTGGTGGAGATCAAGGTGAGGGCGGGGATGGGGGTTGATGGTCCCGACGACACTGGAATGCTCTCACAGGTAGTGGGACGTAGCGGTGTGGTGGGCAACGTCAAATCTGTTCGCCTGGCCGCTTGTCCTTTTTTTGTTTTCAGGCTTGGGGGCGTCAGGGTTTTGGGAGCTTGAGTTTTGGGGCTTGGCTAGGAATCCCTAGCATTCCAACATAAAGTCGCCACCACAGCTCAGCACTGCCTGAACACCCCAGACCCTGCTCAAAGCCCCAACTCCTAAACAACTCCAACCGAGCCCCTATCCAAAGCACCTTAAACCAACCTTGAACCCTAAACCCGAATCAGTCTTAATCCGAAGTCCGACAACATTGAGAGGTTTCATCAAGTGGACACTTCCGCTTTCGCGAATCGTACATGAGTACATAAAGAAGTAGAATACATTTCATGGACTGTTTCTGGCCAGCTCAGGAGCATCGAATTGACGATTGCCAAGTTACAGAGCATAGTACTCTGTGCGTGTGTGTGTTGCCACATACGACATACGACGTTATACTATCACTCTTCATCTGTCAACGTTAGGGGCGTATGGCACTGTGGCCAGTACTCTACTGCAATCTACTCCACTGCAACGTACTGTAACTAAAGTCCCATGTCCTCAGCCCGTGTATGCAAGGCCTGGCACGAGCGGATGCTGCTGCCCCGTCGACGTCTGCTCTTCTTTTCTCTTTGCCTCCACGGTTTAGGGAAGCCTCGCAACTTCTGTACAGTGCCATGTAAGATCCCCAGCTTTCGTAACCATAGTATTGCACATTCTAGTATAGAGGTTTTGTAGCCTCTATTACCTTTGTTCATATAGTAAACTGTATATAAATATGTCTGTATAGCCTTCTAGCTGCTCGGGTGCGAGCTCTTAAGGTCGCGGCAGGCGGACAGAACGACAGCCGGTGAGTCATTTCCGCACTGACGTGTGCCCATTCTCAAAAGTTCCAGCAAACCACATTGATGCTGGGTTCTTGTGCGTCCGTTTTGGAGAATGGTTTTGCCATGTTTTGCCAAGCGAAGTACACTGCCTCAGTCAGAGAGTAGTTTTTCTTGAGAGAGCAGAGCTGCGACCCATACTCCTTATAAGCCACGTTTCCAATTGGGCTTTGGAGCCACCTTTGCCGAAAGCCACTGTAGGCAGACATTTTTCCCTGAAACTCTTTGGTCAGAAAGTTGGAGCCACAAAGCCCTAAACCCTGCGAACCCTATGAACCCTGTGAACCCTAAACCCTGAACCCTGGTTCGTAAACTCCACACCCTAAACCCCCCACTCTGACAGCCTAAGCCCCACGCCCTACACCCTGACCTTGCACTACCCTGCAATCCTTACAACCTTACGAGCCCTGAAACCTTGGAACACTAAAACCTGAAGCCCATGCCAATCCCTGGATACAATCATTTCTCCCTTCTCATATAGTTCTGGATTTCACAACTATTTTTCTTTTTTCCACATTCTAAATTATTACCGAAAAAATCCAAGTATAGATTAAACGCTCGCATCATGTTATTCAAAAGTAGTATCGAATCTAAGGAATTGGATTCGACCCTATAGTTTTTGGTTCTTGGGTGGCTTAGGGGCGGAGGG